TCTTCTGTGGTGAGGGCCTTGCTGTGTTATGTCCTGAGCTAGGGTGCTAGCAAATAGCCCTGGCATTTGGTACAGATTACCATGGGCAGAAATAAATGTTACGTACGTCCTGCTTCTGGGCTATTTGATGGTTTGGTAAAATAAATTGGGGCCATTGAAGTGCTTGTAGATGAGGGGCAGCACATGGAGCCATCGCTGTTCGTGCCAGCTGCTTTCAGGAGTGGTGCAAGGCCAGGAGTGAACCTGCCTTAACCCCACTGCTCCATCACCAGGAAGCCATTTCAGTTAAGTGGTGCCCAGCCACAGCCTGCTTCCTGAACCACCTCCTGCCCCACATGCGAGTCCTCCTGCACCCAAACTCCTTCCCAAAGCTTGCACCCTGAAACCCCTCCTGGACCCCAATCCCCCACCCTGGGCTAAGTCCAGAGACCATCCTGGTCTGAACCCCTTGGCCCAAGACCAGAGCCTGCACCCCAGCCCCCGCCTGGTGAAAGGGAGTGATGGGGATGGAAGAGGGATGGAGTGAGCAGGGTGAGGCCTCAGACGGGGTGGAGTAGGGTCTCAGGAAGAGGGATGGAGTGAGCAGGGTGAGGCCTCAGAAGGGGTGGAGTAGGGTCTCAAGGGGCAGGAAGGAAGTGGGGCAAGGGTACTTGGGTTTGAGGTAGGTCTTACATTGAAAAAGTGATCATATGGTTAAAAAGATTGGAGGCCACTGTTCGTCCTGCCATTATTAGACTGGCACCTTAGTCCGACCCAAAGCGAACCTGGTTCCTCCCTCACACTTAGCCTATTTGGCCACCAGGCTAATGTAAGCAACAGACTAGTAACTCTGCCAATTAGTGGCAAGAGTGCATGGGGTGTCTATGGAATGGGTGCTAACGCCTTTGCCATTGTAATTCTTAATAAATGCAGCGTTGCCTTTTCCCCCATAAAGATCCCATGGACACTATTAATTTGGAACTTACCCAAAAATATCATGCTAAAAGGAGAGGTTTGTTAGAGAAGAACAAGAAGCGAGTGATTAACTGGTAAACCAAATCGATGCATACCTACTACTTCAGTCCACTGATGAGGTTCTTAGCAGTACTGGTAAGTTTGCCGGCTTCAGTTGCCCTGGAAGTTGTTCAAAGCTTGAATGGGTCATTCAGTCCGTTCTTCAGCTTGCAGAGAAGTTTCTCCAGTGATAAGAAATAGGACTGAAGACAAAATAGAGACAATACAGCTGCCTTCTTGTATCCTGTGCCATGGCTTGTATTTTCTTGGTCTCAAACACAGGGATATGCCCCCCCCCCTCCCCTGACTCATTGGTGTACCCTTGTATTCTCTCAATGGCTTCACTGTAGAGCTGATTGAAGGCATCAAGCAGGCTAAAAAAGAGTGCTGAAGCCAATCTGTCAGGGGCAGTCACACAGCTACAATGCAGTTTTCTTACTGTACCTATAAAGTTTTTCCTGTGGGATGACAATGATGTCATCAGTAGCATTCTCTCAAGCTGTGGGGCAGCAGAGTGTCACAGGTGATTAATCAGCCCCTTCTCCCCAAGTCAGTCAGCTCCGTGCACAGAGCTTCTGTCTGGGTGGGAAGGCTAGACTGGTCATCACTTCACACTGGCCTCAGACAGCCCCGCCTACCCCTTTCCCTAGTGCTGGCTGCTGGGAGGAGGGCGTGTGAGGCCTCAGAGCATCCCTTCTCCCAACAGCCCCCATATTCTGTTGAGCTTTTAGCCCTACTGCAACTGGGGTTGATCTTTAAAAAGTAATTGGATATTTGGACATATTAAAAATAGCTCCCCAGCCACACCAGTCCAACGGCACAGAAATCAGAGCCAAACCACTTCAAAGACTACAATGGAGGCAATGCTGGTCCCATCCTACATGCTCCTGCAGAGCAAATGAAACTATTTATCCCAGCATTGAAAATGACAAAGTGAAAGGATTTCCCTGCAAATATGCCAGGCAACCAGCTTGGCTTAGCAGAGAAATCTTCTGGGAGCTTAAACACAAAAAGGAAGCTTCCTGGAAATGGAAACTTGGCCAGATGTCTAGGAAGAGTATAAATACATTTCTCAAGCATGCAGGGGTGTAATCAGGAAGCCCCAGCCCTGCTGATGTGGGGGGCAGTTGCCCTGGGACCCGGTGATTCAAAAGGGCCCACAGCTCCTGGCTGCCACCACTACTTTTGCAGAAGTGGTGTAGCCAGAGCCTGGGCCATTTAACTCACGCTCAGAGCATCATGTGGTGTGGTCTGGGCAGCTGTGAGGGTTGCCTAGGGGGGAGGTGCACTTCAGGTGGCGCTCAGGGCAGGCTGCCTCCAGCTCCACCCCTTCTGCTCAAGGACCTACCCCTTTCAGTAGCATGGCGCCTCGACTCCTCCCCCCTCCGCTCCCCCTCCCCCCGACTTTGACCAAGGGCCCAATCAGAGTTGCAGTTAGCAAGGGATGACACAGGTAAGATGGGGTTCTACAGGTATGTTAGCAACAAGGGAACATGTGGGTCCCGCACTGGACAGGGAAGGCAACCTAGGAACAAATGAGGTGGAAAAAGCTGAAGTACTCAATGCTTTTTTGCCCCCAGTGGTGAAAGACCAGGTTAAGAGTAATTTGGCAAAGCTTGACATACACACTCGCCCAGGGGGCCAGATCTAATGTGCCAGAGCGTACTGGGAGAGTTACTGAGGTGGTTGCAGAGCCGCTGGCCATTATCTTTGTGGAGATCGGGAGAGGTGACTGAAAAGGCAAACTTAGTGCCCGTCTTCAAAGAGGGGATGGAGGCGGAGCCAGGCTCACCTCAAACACTACAAAAATCATGGGGTAGCGCCTCAAAGACTTGATTTTGAAATACTTGGAGGAGAGGGAAGTGATCAGGAACAGACAACAGAGCTTCACCAATGGCAAGTTATGCCTCACCAACCTGATTTCCGTCTATGGTGCTATAACTGGCTCTGTGGCTATGGGAAAAGCAGTGGATGTGACATAAAGCAAAGCTTTAACTACAGTCTCGCATAGTATTATTGCTGTGAAGTGAAAGAAATATGACCTGCATGAATGGTCTGTAAGAAAAGAAAACAGGCTAGGTTGTCAGGCTCAATAAAGGCTCCATGTCTAGTTGGCAGGCGATATCAAGCCGAGTGCCCCAGGGAGTGGTCCTGGGATTGTTTTTGTTCAACGTCGTCATTGGCTGAGGGAATGGATTGTGCACTCAGTAAGTTCACAGATGACACTAAGCTGGGAGGGGAGAGGTAGATATGCTGCAGGGTAAGGATCAGGTGCAGCATGATCTAGACAACTTGGAAGATTGGACCAAAAGCAACCCGATGAGGTACAACAAGGACAAGTGCAGAATGCGATATGTAAGAGGGAAGACTCCCAAGCATTGCTATAGACCAGGGACTGATTGGTTAGGCAGCCATTGTGCAGAAAAGGTCCTGGGGAATTACAGAAGAGATGCTGGATGAGAGTCACAGTGTGCCCTTGTAGCAGAGCAGGCGAATGGCATATTGGACTGCAATAATAGAAGCAGTGCCAGCAGATCAAGGGAACGGACATACCCCCAGGCTGTGTCTAGACGGGCAAGTTCTTCCGCAAAATCATCTGCTTTTGCGGAAAAACTTGCCAGCTGTCTACACTGGCCGCTTGAATTTCCGGAAAAGCACTGACGATCTCATGTAAGATCGTCAGTGCTTTTCTGGAAATACTATGCTGCTCCCGTTCGGGGCTTTTTGCGGAAAACCGCGTCTAGATTGGCCACGGACGCTTTTGCACAAAAAGTGCTTTTGCGGAAAAGCATCCTGCCAATCTAGACGTGCTTTTCCAAAAATGCTTTTAATGGAAAACTTTTCTGTTAAAAGCATTTTCGGAAAATCATGCCAGTGTAGACGTAGCCCTTGAGTACTACATCCAGTTTTGGACAGAAAGGCTGTGAAGAAATTGGAGACAGTCCAGCAGAGGGCAACAGAATGATTAGGAGGCTGGGGCACATGGCTTATTAGGAGGAGCTGAGGGAACTGGGCTTATTTAGTGTGCAGAAGAGTGAACGGGGATTTGAGAGCAGCCTTCAACTTTCTGAAGGTGGGTTCCAAAGCAGATGGAGAAAGGCTGTTCTCAGTAGTGACAGATGACAGAAGGAGCAGCAATGGTCTCAAGTTACAGTGGGGGAGGTCTAGGTTGGATATTAGGAAAAACTATTTCACTAGGAGGGTGGTGAAGCACTGGAATGGCTTACCTAGAATGGCAGTGGAATCTCCATCCTTAGAGGCTTTTAAGTTGGGGCTTGAGAAAGCCCTGTCTGGGATAATTAGTTGGGATTGGATAGATGACCTCAAGAAGTCTCTTCCAACCTTAATCTTTGATGATTCTCTGTCCCACCTTATCCATGTTTTCAGCAGTTTGGACTTTTCCAGATTGGAATGACAGTAATAGACAATACAACAGCCCTCTAATGGACATCAGACGTTCTTTCCCTTGGGTGCAGGAGCTCTGGCCTGGGGAAATTCCCATTTGCACACAATGCATCACCAGGATTAAAGAAACTGCTATTGGGGCTGATACTCAAAACAACATTTTACAGAATTACTTGTACATTGGCAGCAGTCTGCCAATATCAATGGTAAGCACTTCTGCTGCTCTCGTCTGGTCTGGTCTGGGCTATTTGGCCAATATGTGCTTTGGGGGCAGAGACTTTCACACTGTTCAAAGAAGCTCTGATTTCTAGGAGGGAAGGTGGGCCTTTAAATGCTCCCACCACATAATTGAGTTGTCTGCTCTATATTACTGGTGCAGCTGAAAGGAAGCTAACTAACATGCCTCTTTGATGCAGGAAGGAAGCCATTAGTTATAGCATGTACAAATAAAGTCACTTAGTGTGGAGGAAAAGACTAAGGAAGCAAGCAGATTTGAGCGGCGTGAGAAAGATTTACTCTTCCATACAATGCTCCTCTCCAAACTGGAAGCCCACATCAAATATTTCCACCCCTTCCATACCTTCAAACAAAAAGCTGTGAAGCAGTGAATTAAACATCAAATTTATTGCATAATACGGAACTATGTACACGCACACATAGAAAATTTACATTTGCTATAGCTGAATATTTGTCTTTAAATCTGTCTTATAAACAGGCATTTAAATCAATACATTTAAAAAGCCCCATGCTTACAACCTTTCGTTAGGGAAGTGCAAAGTTCAATACTGCAAATCAAACATGGAACATAAATAGTCTGTTCTATAAATGTCCATTCTCCAACAGTCATGAGTTTAAAATTCGATTTACACATATTCTTGGGAAATGAGTGATTGTTCACCATTGTAACTGATTATGGAGCAGAAAAAAAACAGAGAACTCATTAATCTATGGGAAATGGATAGTTAATTCATCCGCTTCTCTACCATTCATGTACATTTCAAACATGATCAGCAAAAGCTTCATAACAAAGATTGCCATAAGTCCCAGAATTTAAGGGTGACACGAAGTGTCAAGTAGAAATGTTGCACTAAAAATCCTGATTTCATCTGATTCCAAACATGAACAAGCCTTCAAAAGTAGGTTCACATAGTCCTGTAGATTAGATTCTGATTCTTTGAAGTTGGCAGCTCACATTTTATCAGGATCACTTGCCTTTGAGGCAGGAAACTAGAACTAGGTTAACTACTAGAACTACTGCAGACTTGTAGTATGTGTTGGATTCGTAAGTGGAGCTTCTACCAAGCTACAAATTTCTACATTTTGTTTTTCTTCAGAACTAAAACAAGTGACCTAACCCTTTAAAAAAGGCTATGCCACAAAGACCCAATCAGAAGAAAAAACACATAATCCACAATCTGGTGCAAATGGAATGAGTGTATACCATAAGAAGGGAGATCAGAGACAAGTGTTGCATAGTGCCCCCAACCCAGTACCTAACTGTTCTGGAGGGAGGAGGGAAATGGGGATGAAGTTTAGTAATTCTATGCAAGCTTGCACTGGGGAGAAGGGAAGGGTGGACAGTTTTTACAAAAAATCATCGTTTCACCCACAGCCAGGAATGCAAAGAGGAGCAAAGATGAAAGAAAAGGAGGGTGGGGGGAGAGAGCTGCAAGCCACTGCTAGGGGATAAAAACTACTCACTAAAAAAGAAGGCTGACCTGATTTTGTTTGCTGTGGGTTTGAGACTTCGGTGCACAGTGTCTCTGCTAAAATACCAGAGATGATTGACTGGGACACACTTGGCCTCCGTGCCTTTTGATTCTAGTATTTTTATAAAACATTCTAATCCATTACGTTACAAAAATAACACCCCCTCCATTTGTTGTGTTTGTGTCTCTTGGCAATCAGGCCAAGCTAAAGCCTTCATAGTGGTCGATGGCTTGTGTAAGCCGCATGCTCAGGGTTTCCTTGCTGCGGTACTTGGGCAGGTCGAGAAGGTTATAGCAGGTATGAGCTACAGGCAGGTACTGCTCCCCACGCAGTGTGGACTGAATGATGATACGCACGCTTGACATGCCATAGATAGGGATGCGGTCACTGCCAGTCAGGAACACTGAGAGTAGAAAGGAAATAGACGAGTTAGAAAAGCATTGACACTAGCAGGCAAATCCCTATTCCCCTATCCTCAAAGAGGCTTTAAGGGGGGGAAAGCCCACACCCAACCTCACAACCTCCTTGCCTGAACCCTAATGCCTAGATGACCAAGGCACCATATGCTGTACCAATGGGGCAAGCGATTTAAGCTAGGCATGTGCGAGGGGAGGGCAGAAGATGTGGACTAAGGAGCATGCTCTAAGCACCTACTAGTCTGGACTCTAGTGTTGCTGGCAGCTATAGTGATGTTGCTATAAGATAAAGCAAACTGCAGGATTACTTTGACTATAACTAAGGGCCACACCAATCCAGAAATCTAAGACATCCTTCTTGCTTGCCTTGCTGGGACTTCCAGTGCTATGCAACCTAGAATCTGCTCCTAGACTTCGCACCCACTCCTCGGCAAGGCTGAAATAGCATCCAGTCTTCCAGCTTGGTCTACTGTAGGCAATCATGGTGGAGGACTTATGGCACGAACCCACAAGCTTGAGACGTGTAGGGGTCACTGAGGGTGAGTTTAGAGGAAATGGGGCGGCAAACAGTCACAGAGCAAAAGCAAGGGGATAGTGGGAGTCATGAAAGAGATCAATGAGAAAAACTGAGGCAATCAAGGGCCTACAGGCTCACAGAGAATAGGCTTATTGGTATATGAGGGCCGTGAAGGTGAGTATGAAGCCAAGGAGGTCAGCCAAGAATACAGACTAAGGCTTGATACACTGGGGCACATTTGTTCAAGAAAAAAAATATGAACACAACAGGGACATTCACACAAAGGCATGGAGGAACAGGCTAGATGTAGTGCCGCTTATATCAATGGGGTGGGGGAGAGGAGGAATGTGCAACAGTTGAGTTCATGGAGGATGAATTTCCAGGCAATTGGGCTCATGAATGTTTGGGAGTATGAAGGCAGTGAGACTGAGGGGCAAGGACCATCATGCTAGAGTGTGTGTGTGTGTGTGGGAGTTACACGTGAAAAAACTTTTGGCAGCAATGGGGGAGGGTACAGTCAGTGCACTTAGTGTGTGCTTAACAGTAATAGAGTCACACAGGGTAACAGAGCTAGGCTGGCAGTTTGGGGGTATGAGGAAACACTTTGTGACAATCTGGATCACAGAGAGTATGACGGGCTGTGTCTAGACTGCATCCCTTTTCCGTAAAAGGAATGCAAATTAGACATATCGCAATGGCAAATGAAGCGGGGATTTAAATCCCCCCCGCTTCATTAGCATAAAAATGGCTGCCGCTTTCCGGCTCGGAGCTTTGCCGGAAAAAAGCGCCAGTCTAGACGCGGATCTTTCGGAAAATAAAGCCTTTTCCGAAAGATCCCTTATCCCTCATTTAAAAATGCTTTATTTTCCAAAAGATGCCTCGTGAAATGAGGTTTACTGGAGCGGTCAACAAAGGCATCCCTTGTCAACCGTGGCATGTCCAGACTGCCCCACTGTGCCGCCAAACAGCTGATCGGCAAAGCGTGGCAGCCATTTTGATGTAAATGAAGCAGTGATTATTTAAATCGACGCTTCATTTTCCTGTGTCGAATAACTCATCTACATGGCTCCGTTGACGGAGCCTAGACATACCCTAACTCAGTTCATGACAGTTTACAAATGAAGCAAGAATAAATAAGGAGAAAATATCCTGTTTGTTTTAGGACTCTGAACATTATTTTTGTAAAGTGACAAATGAATTCTTGTGCAATTTCATCTGCCTGTAATCTAACTTTTTATATTAACATCCTGGGAATGAGTGGACTTTTTATTTAAAGTTTTGAAACATCTCTATCTGCAACTGAAAAAGTAAGACCTGCCTAACAAGATGGCCCGTTGGGACCAGCAGAAGTGTTCCTGTATAGTTATCATTTCTATTTACTTATGTATATGAAGGTATGAAACTCTGCTATATGTTTGTATCTCAAACCTGTTGCATTGTCTGGGTTAGTGTAAATTACTTCTATGCTAGCTAGCCTGCTTGATGGTATCATTACAAACATATCTGCTTGGAAAAAGTACGCAATACCCTCATATCATGAATATAAAATGAGATCCCTACAGCTTTCTGAGGAGGTTAATTGTGGTAATTTGGTCAACAAACAAACGTAATAGCAGGGGTCCATCCCTGGTGTTAGAAAGAAGATAGCCTTAGTGATGGATTCAAATAATATTCATGGTGAAATCCTGAATGCTGCCGAAGTACACATATGGAGCATGGCAGTATAGCTCCACTAGGCAGTAATTAAACATAAAAGAAAAACCACAATTTGCTATAACCAAAGAAAAAAAGGAAGGAGAGGAAAGAGGTCACACTAAAGAGATAAAAAGGGTCGAAGGCAAAGTTGGAAATGAACTGTCTTATTGTGAGTGGAGGGACTGTTTAAAATATATTGGGAGGTCTAGGAAGGAATTTCATACTTCAGGCTAATTCTTAGATCTTCTAGCCACAAGCACATAATCACCAGGAAGCCTTTTGCTAGTAGATGCCAGGGCATCAGACAGTACACTACTTGCATGTACAGGTAGGGCCTTGTAACCCAGCGGAGTCAACAGGGGTGTAAAATCCCATTTAATTGTTTAATTAATTAACTGGTTAAAGGGGAGATAGGCAGGAGGGCTGGACTCCTCTGCCCCCCACAGGCAGGGGCTGCATCGGCTGGGCTGGAGCAGCCCCTGTCTATGGCAGACCCCAGCCTCCCCTGACAGAGCTGGAGTGGCCCCCTGTCCATGGCAAGTGGGGAGCTGCTCCAGTTAAGGCTAATTGATAAGCCTCACCCATTAAGGACAAGGCTTACTGGTTAACCAGATAAATACTGACATCCTTACGAGTCAACCCCATTCACCACCTTTTATAGGTAACATTCCAAAAATACCCAGGATGTAGGCCACAGCAAAAATTTGTCAAGCAGGATTTGGAAGATGATGTAGGGATTCCCTGGGAGTGACATTCTCCAGGATGTTGGTGTCAGTGCCTGTGCCAGTGAAGGAGGCATAGACTGCATCAGAGCTGGTGCCATGTGCTCCACAATCAGATAAGATCCCTTGTTGCCTTAAAGGTGTCCAGCGTTGAAGGGGGATCCAGATCCTCTTCAAGGACTTCCTGCTCAGAGGGATCCAACAAAGCCCAACTTGCCAGCCCTAGCCTCATGGCCCCAGCCTCAGTGGATGGCATTGGTGGCACAGTACAGTCCTGAAAGTGCCCGCCACGGGACATGCCAATGGATGGTGATTGGTAGCCTTCTTGGCCAGAGACTAGCCTCAGCTAGACCTGGCTTTCTTATGTGGCACCAGAGACAGAGTGGTGCCCTAGCAGAGAAGCTCATCCTGTGTGCAGGGGAGGGATGCCGGTGCTCTTTTGGGCCTTCTTTATGAGGCACCAATGTGTCCCACACGGAAGGAGGCCAGCACACTATGCAGCGAAGACAGTGATGTCAGGTCCAGCACCAGGGATCGAAATTCTGACTCCATGAGCAGGAGTTTCAAATGCTGATGTCACTCTCTCTCGTCCGGGACATGAAACTCCTGCCAACAGTGCACTTATCCACTAAGTGTCCTTCACCTAAGCACTTGAGGCAAGCCGTATGTGGCTCCCCTCTGGGCACAGGCTTGCCACAAGTGAGGCAATTCTTAAACCCCCGCTGTCTGCCACAGGGAAAACTCAGTCAAGGAACAAAAAACAAACAAAAGGAGGGGAACCCCCAACTGCAACTGACTACTAACAACTCTAAACAAAACACAGGTAAGAGAAATACCTCCTGTCAGGATGGTTAAGCACTGGAATAAATTGCCTAGGGAGGTTGTGGAATCTCCATGACTGGAGATATTTAAGAACAGGTTAGACAGACATCTACCAGGGATGGTCTAGATCAGCATTCTCCAAACTACCGACAGACACCTGTCAGGGATGATCTAGATCAGCATTCTCCAAACTACCAGGCCGCAGGGAAAAAATACCAGGCCTCAGCATGCCTGGTGGCTGCCGGCAGGGCCAGCCTTAGGCTGATTTGACTGATTCAGTCGAATAGGATCCCGTGCCCCTGAACCCAGAAGTGCCGGCGAGTTACAGAGCCAGGGGCCCTGCTCCACCAATATGTGGAGCTGGGTCTCTCCCCTAGCTCTGTCTGGAGCAGGCTCTGGCCCATCCCTGCCGTGCGCGGCTCCTCCTCACCGGTTGCTGCTGCCCATGTGTGGCGTTACACGTGGGCAGGGAGGACGCCCGGGCTAGACGTGACGTCACAGCCCGGCCTGGGATTTTAAAACTCCTCGGAGGCAGATTGCGGGGCTGCCTCCGGGTTCGGCCTCCGGGGCCTGAGCACAGACTCCGGCCCTGCAATGTGGAAGGCAGAAGGCAGGGAAAGGGCTTGTGCGGTGGCAGTGGGGGGGGGGAAAGGAGGGTTAAGGGGCTTGGGCAGAGGGGGAGGAGTGGAAGGAGAAGGGGCTTGGGAGGGGGAGACACCCAGGGACAGGGGGAAGGAGAGACAAATGCCAGGGGGCCAAGTGCAGACAATGAGGGAAAGGGCAGGAGGGGAGGTGTCAGTGGGAGGGCGGACAGGGTGATGCTAGGAGAGGAGAGCAGAGGAGAGGAGAGGGGAGGGGAGGAGAGGGGAAGGGCATTGGGGGCTAGAAGGGGAAGGGGCTGGGAGAAGGCTTGAAAGAAGGGGTGGGCATGAGAAAGGTGGGAATGGGGCAGGAGATGTGTGAGGGCACAGAGGGGCAGGAGAGGAATGGGGCAGAGAGTGGTGAGGGGGAGGGTAGCAGGGAAAAGAGAGCAAAGGGGGCAGGGGAAGTAAGGGAAGGGGGAGGCACCAGGAGGGTGCAGGGCTAAGGGAAGGTGCAGGTGCCAGGAGATTCCGGGAGGTGAAGCAGAAGAGCAGAAACCTGCATGGGAGGGACCAGCACCAGAGGAGAGAGGCAGGACAGGTGTGTAGAGGGAGGTGTTAGAAGAGGGGTAGCTCACATGAGCAGAGTGGGGCTACTGGAGGAGTGGGCATAGAGGAGAGAGAAGGGCTGGTGGAGGGGGGCAGGTTTCAGGAAGGCTGAGGGCAGTGAGAAGGGCAGGAGTCAGGACAGCAGAGGAGGGTGAGGAGTTGGGGGGCAGCAGGCGCCAGGGGAGATGATGGAGCAAGGAGAGGAGACATGGCAGCAGAGAGAAAAGTTTTAAAAATATTTATTAATAACTTGGTATGCTGCCCACAGCCAGTTTGTTTGAGCCCTGCGGTGCAGTTTGGGTTTATGTGGGGATCAACATGTGGCTGGCGAGGGGGAACCAAAACAAAAAAGTAGTCAGTGTAATGATCTTCTGTTGAAATGCGTTTTAGTAGTTAAATTCTTGGACCGTCATTGCTCATGAAAAGTGCTGTCACATGGGTAGAAATTGGGTAAATATTGAATTTTATTAATATCAGCAGAACTGACTTAAATGGGGCCTGTGTGTTGTGTAGTCTTGCCTTAATCTTTGTATTCATGCCTGTCAGTCTGAGAGAAGCTATTTGTATCTATTTGCTTGCATATGCAACCACACTTCAGTTGAGGCTCTCAGCATGTTCTGTAAGTATCAGTGTGGCCCCTGGGGCTTCCAAAGTTGAGTTGCTCTAGCTCATCCCTGACAGGTGTCTGTCTAACCTGGTCTTAAATATCTCCAGTGATGGAGATTCCGCAATCTCACTAGGCCAGTGTTTCCCAAAGTATGGGCCGCGGCCCGGTACCGAAGAGTGGGACTGACCTGGTCATATGTAGATCTCGGAGCGCTGCCCCACTCCCTCCCAAAGCATGAGTTAGTCCGGCCCGGGGATTCTGTTGTCGTCCTCCCCCCACCCCCCCCACACACACACCCTCGAGTAGTTGCGAACTGTCTGGCTGGTAGACACACTCATGAAGCCTGAGCACATTCACCAGCCCGGCAGTTCAAAACTACAAACTGATACATCTAGTAATAATAAAACTTACCTAATGAGAAAATACCAGACATGTTATATGAACAGTACTGAAAAAAAAAGGGTTCCAACTAAAGTAAAAAGTTTGGGAAACCCTGGTCTAACCAGCTTTCTGCCTGTCTTACACCTCCATTTATCCAATCCATATTCCTTAACTTGCTGGCATGAATATTGTGGGTGACGATATCAAGCTTTGCTAAAGCTGGCACTGGGGGTTTTGGGGGGACCAGAAACAACTTATTTGAATATTCATAATTTGATTAATGAATATGCAAATATGCAAATGAACATTACAGGTCCTCCAAAAGTTTGTGAATAGATTTACTGGTCCCCGTGTCAAAAAGTTTGGGAACCCCTGGTCTAGATGGTGCTTGGTCCTGCCGTGAGGGACTGCACTTCATGACTTCTCAGGGAGTGGAAGGGATCTATTATACTAGGAGTCTATGATATTTTAGCATTAAGGACTAGAGAAAGGATTTAGCTGAAGGATTTTCAGGGATTCAAAGATCATTGTTAAGGTTGCTAAATTCACTTAAAAGTTCATGCTGACCAGGATGAAAGATCTGGCCTGATATTTGCAGCTTTGGCTTCTCCTATCAAAGCACGGTGCTTATGTGGTACACAGTAGATACGGCTGCATTATACGTCCCCCTACAAAGAAATTATTATTTTTTGCATTTTTCTTTTTGCTCCTTCACAACTGGAGCCTTGGAAAACTGGTTCACTAATACAACATGCTTTTAGTCAAAATTACAGTTATTTCTGGCCAGTAGAGAAAAAAATTGCAGTGTCTTTCTGACAATGCTAATACCATCCACCACCATCACTAGAATGGGACTACAGCAGAAATTCTCAAACTATGGGCAGTTCTCAAGCCCTGAACAGCTGGGGCTTGTCCAGAAGGGCTATGCACACCTGACAAGTGGGGGAATGGCATGACAGAGACAGCACAGTCTGACTCTGCTTCGGCTCTCCTTTCCTTTGCCCCGCTGACTCCCTCAGGTGGTGGCATGGGTCCAGCTGACAGCAGCACAGAAATAAAGAGGGTGATGGGATGCAAAATCAGCTGTAAAGTGTGACACTGACAAATGCCATTTTTACTTTTACTTCTGTGCTGCTGCTGGCACAGTGCTGCCTTCAGGGCTGGGTGGCAATATATGTATTTGGGAAGAAGGGAGCATAAGTGACTATAGACACAAAGAAGGGGGCACAACCAAATACATTTGAAAACCACTTGCCTACCGGGATTTTTAGTACAAAACTTAAAATAGAAGAGAAAAGAAACTGGAGGAAAATGGCAAAAGTTATTCTAGCTAGTGGATATTACTGAGACACCAACCTTTCCACTTGAGTTGTGCAGCAAGAGTCAGTGCAGCCAGCTACTCTACATGTACACAATATAGCTGCTGTTCAAATCTGGGTCTACAATTTCCAGATGTGGCTAATACCACTGCAAGATACTTACAAAGAAATTTCTTCTTCTTTTCTGAGGGAAAGTCATGAAAGGTTTCCCAGAACATTCTCACTGTTGGGTGTGTAGCAGAGTAGTCCCCCTTGTAGACAGCACACTGTTAAAAGAGTCACAAACGTTTCCCTTATGAGAGAAAGGACTAACTTCCCCTTCCTTGGAATCCTAAGAATAAAAGCTGGTGATATGCTTTCAACATTTAATTGCAGGTTGGACCTGACTGGTCCTGAACAAGAGAATTTTCTGGACCCCGGAAAGTCCCTTGCCACTGACCCCCCCCAAACGCACTTCCTGCTCCCAATAGGCTGCCCCACCAGGCAACCTGCTTCACTCCCCCACCCAAATCTGGCTGGGCTGTTTACCCAGCTGCTGCCAGCTCCCTGGGTGGCCCAGGCTCCGGCCCAGACCCTGCTTGCTGCGAGTTGCCATAGGGCTCTGGCCCCAGCTCCATACTCCTGAGGCCCAATGCTCCTGGGGGCTGCTGGGGCGGGGGGACCCAGCCCAGCCCAATACTGGGGAACTCTGGTCCCGGCCCTACACTTCCATGGGTTGCCAGGGGCTCTGATCCCAACCCCGATGCTGCCACGGAGCTCCAGTCCCAGTCCAGCACTGCCCCCAGCCAGGCTGCCAACCCTGTTGCCCCCAGCCCTCCGGCTCCTGGGCTTTCTGGTCCAGGAGCATCCATGATCCTGCTGGACCATGGCTGCAGCTGGACCAGAGTGTGCCAGTTTTCGGAGGTGCAAATTGTAATAAAAAGCACAGTTTAGAAATTCTAGAGCAACTGCTGATGTTCTAATAAAACCAATAATACGTGTGGAATGGGGAAAGAAACTAGATCACATGCTTATATTTAGAGAGTACAATTCACTGTCATGCAGCAGGGCAGCACAAGCCCTAAGCAGTACCCAAGTTCTACTGAAGCTTGTGGCCTTCTACTGCCTTCTCTGCCTCATGCTGAATTTCTCCCTGAGAGAGAGTTCTGTTTTCATATTCTCCACTGCAGGTCCGGCTTTAAGAAGTCCCTGAGAGAGAGTTCTGTTTTCATATTCTCCACTGCAGGTTCGGCTTTAAGAAGCACGGGGCCCTGCATGCGCCGTGTGCCCAGGGGCCTGCGCATACATTGCGCGCCCGGAGGGGGGGAGGAGGGAGACTGCGCATGTGCTGCACGCCGGGAGCAAGGCCCCCTTAGGCGTGGGGCCCCATTCCGGGGAATCGGCCTAAAGCTGGCCCTGCTCCACTGAATTCAGACTTCAACCTTAAACAAAGATAGTAGAATTCCTTCTATACTGGCCTGTCAGTCTTTGTTAGAGGCAGGACAGCTTAATGGTGATGATGACTTCCAAGGGAATCAGCAAAAGGTGTTATATAATGAGGATAAAAGTTCCCAGAAGAGGTTGAGGACTATACCCCATCCCAACTCCTTGCAGAGGACACCCAGTGTAAAAATCATGGCCATACTTAAGACTACAATGTGATACATGATCTGCTAAGTACGTATGTGGCCTCTATTCCCACCATCTCTGGACAACTCTCAATCTTCAGTGGATTTTTCCTCCCAACACCAATTGTGAGGCAAGGCAGTGCTATTACCCTCATTTTATGGATGAGGAACTGAAACAGAGACTATATGATGAGCTCAAGGTCACATATGGAGTCTGTGTCAGAGTAGGAAACCAGTGTCCCAGATTAGCACTGGTACATTCTTACTGGTTTCTGTGTCCATGAAGACAAACAGAAAAGATGCGCCATGTCAACTTACCTCTTCCAATTCCTTCCAGTTGTAGTTGCTGTTTCCTACTATCATGGCCCTCAGCTCTGTGGGCTGGAAGAGTTCCAGAACCTTTCCTCCACACACCTTCAGGAAGCCAGTGGAGAAAGCAATATACCACTCATGGACTGAGAGACTGAAGATGTAATTTAAGTAGGCATCAACAAATTCCTGTCTAGTGTATTGAGAGAAGGGGAGGGAAGAAAGAAGAAAGAAAATACTGTTATTCACATTACTGAGTTTTAGTCAAACTCAGTTTTATTAGGAAGTGACCATTCACACTGTGGGCTGGAAGCTATAGGGACCCAATCAGGTTTAAAAAGAGGGCTCCTGCCTATTGTGAATAAAATGGACACACTGTTCAGAGGGCCTGAATGAAATGCTTGTCTCGAGGCTCCCAGTAATGGTACACATGACTGTAAAGTAGCAGATAGCAAGAGGCACTGTAGACTTGTTTGACCTCAGGCAATGGCAGTGGAGACTTCCTCAAATCACTCAGCCCAGCATTTCCTGCTTTCTCTGGCCTGATCTGCTGAATCCTGATGCCCTGAGTTGATGCTCTACTCAGGACTGGGGGTCAAATCAAAGTGACAGAGACAATGACCAAGATTTTCAAAAAATAAGAGCCTAATAAGTCCATATTTAGGCACCTGTTTGACATAATTCACTGGCAACTGGTGGGTTTGCAGCACTTCAGAAGAGCATAACCTGGAATTCCTATTTTTAAAAGCCTTGATCTAAACATACTGTAATACCCATCTCCTTCCCATTAGCAGGAGTGCTCTGCGTGCTGAGGGTTGTGAAGGGAAAAGATACAAGGACATTCAAGAGTGAGACACATCCCAGTCACAGCTAACCTAACAAGACAGAAAACAGCAAAAGGCAAAGAATCTGATTCTTAGTTATACTAAGATCTCATTAAACCATTTTGGCAGTGTAAAGGACTCGCAGAGACAAAAATTACTCCCTGAGAATTTAATATCCTTGACACAAGGGCCTCCATGGTCAATGCAGAACTAGTGCCAGAGCTGTATACCAGCCTTGCTTCCACCCCTAATGTAGAGGCTATGCTGAAAGTAGGCTGGAGGATAAATCCACCCCTAATGTAGAGGCTATGCTGAGAGTAGGCTGGAGGACAAAATAGGAGAGCTGAGAAGGAGAGTGTTGTGGATCAAGTGCCCAGTGCTATGGCTATTTCTGGCTTTTTAAGAATTCACAGTGGGGCCCTAGTAAACAGAGATGATGTTCAAGACAGCCCTGAGACTGCTCTAATTTACACAGAAGGCCAGGCAATGTGAAAGAAGCGATTCCGTTGAAGTGTTCATTCTTACAAATAAATGTATCTTGTGAAATTGTCTTAAATTAAAAGATGCTAATATGGTTAAGTGAACTCATGCAACATTGGTGAATGCCAGAAGAGGGCGTCATGGTTCATACACTAGGATAAAGTGAACAGATGGCTCATCTAGAAAAGATTATAATATTAGAGCATTTCTACACAGATTTTGCTGCAGCTTACTAAATAGGTAGACACACCAACAGAGTTCATCGTCTTCTTTCATATAGCATTTGAAAGCAACCGTCTAGGATTATAAGTGAATCTTGATATTCAAAAGCTATTCTAATGCTTCTGAGATAGGCGGGTGGGACCCCGACTGTACATGGTAATGGGACAGTTGTCCATGATGTGCCACAATTTGTTGATTCTTTGATTCTCCAATTGTGGAAGAGATACTCACACCTTCCACGTGTTGTCTGAATGCAGCTGAGTGCAGTCCACTGCCAACAGAGTTAAAGTGATACAACCCTACCGTGAATGTAGTTCTACTGATGTAAATGTGCTTATAAGAGTATTGCTTGTTAGAAACACCTCAATCGAGCATAACAGGGTCCACATAAAAAAAAAGGGGCTTCTGAGATAGGCGGGTGGGACCCCGACTGTACATGGTAATGGGACAGTTGTCCATGATGTGCCACAATTTGTTGATTCTTTGATTCTCCAATTGTGGAAGAGATACTCACACCTTCCACGTGTTGTCTGAATGCAGCTGAGTGCAGTCCACTGCCAACAGAGTTAAAGTGATACAACCCTACCGTGAATGTAGTTCTACTGATGTAAATGTGCTTATAAGAGTATTGCTTGTTAGAAACACTTCAATCGAGCATAACAGGGTCCACACAAAAAAAGGAGTTATACCAATTTGAGTGAATTTTTCTTTTTAGTATTCAACTGGTGCCTGCTACTTTTTGCCAGTCTATGAGAACTATACACCCAGTCCGCACTGCCTAGGAGGCGGCAAGTGGCGCAAGCGCAGGTCAGAAAACCCCAGAGGAGCAGGGAGAAGCCGTGCAGCCAGCAGTGGGGAGAAGTGTTGGTTTCCTGTTCACAGTACTGCTTTTCTCCAGCTGCCAATTGCGCAATCACCCTCTGTTTCTTTGGAGTCTTCCAGCCAGCATTTCCACTGCTCACCACCTGCACCTTTTGCCTATTTCCCTGGGGCTGCAGCTGAGGTTCTGTTGTAGGTGCAGATGTTTGTAACTCAGGGAGTGCCTGTATTCAATTAGGAGTACAACCTGACCACGGCATAAACATCCTGGGCAAAAATCAGCTTATTCATCCATCAGCTGCCCATCATCTAAACTACTCTACCCATATTCGTCCACTTATTTAGGTTGAACAGACTAAGGACACTGGTCACTTATCTTTGCACAGTTAAGGCCTTTATGTGGTTTGAGTACAGGAAGCACTTTGGCCTGTCTCCACAGCCTGAGTATCTGTACTGTTAAGGTGGATAATTCTGTGCTCTTGTGCTCTAGGGTTAGTAATAGTTCATTAGCTACCCCAGCTGCCTTTCCACATTTCAAAGTTTTCATTGCTATCATGAGTGAGTTTCAGAGTTTTGATAACTATCACTATGATTTAGGTGTCTCTCTGAGGAGAAAGTGAAGCTCTCACTGGATTTGTTTTGTTTCACATTGTGCCTTGTGGGCTGGGTTCCTGTTTAGGATCATAGATAGAATCCTAGGGCTGGAAAAGACCTCAGGAGGTCACTGAGTCCAATCTCCTCTAAGAGCAGGACCAACCCCAACTAAATCATCCTAGCCAGGGCTGTGTCAAGCCAGGCCTTAAAATCCTCTAGGGATGGAGATTCCACCACCTCCCTAGTAACCCATTCCAGTGCTTCCCCACCCTCCTAGTGAAATAGTTTTTCCTAATATCCAAACTAGACCTCTCCCACTGCAACATGGGACCATTGCTCCTCATTCTGCCATCTGCATGCTTTCTGGCAATTGTGACACAGGTTTGTTGTTTCAACCACCAGTCTCCTTCACTCACACCACTCTTTTCTCATCTCTCCCACAAGCATTTCCAGTGGTTTATTCACCTAGGAGATCCAAGTCAACAATTCTGAATCTCTTCTATATTGTTGGTGGGTTTATTCTGAAAGTCTAAACTTATAATGTCCAACACCTCCCCCCACCCTCCGTGATGTTCTTTAGACAATCTTCCAGACCAGCAAGACACATTCTGCAGAGTTTTCATGTGTCAGAATACTAATACAGATGGAGTCATCCAAATCAGAGGTAAAGCCTTCCCAGTCAGTCTTTGTGAAATTGAATCTTGGTAGGTACTATGTTTTCCTGGGCTGGAAGCAGCCTCTATTGTGACATGCTGCCATAACCTCCCTGCTTTTCAGAAAGGAATCACCTGCATTTTCAGAAGTGGCAAGAGCTAGAAATATATTTTCCCAATCTTGTTCTTTGGAAGAAGTATTTATTCAGAGGTCATACAGCAGAGTTGAGTTGTTTGCTGCACACTCTTCAGCTTCTCTTCATCGTTGTCATTGTTGGAGTGTCCCTAGGTCATTCTGTGACTGTTGAAGTTGCCTATAAAAAGGCATGTTTTTTTCTGTCAGGTGACAGTCATGCAAACTGTTCATGGGTAGTTTGTAAATACAAACTACTGCTCTTTGGTCAAGTTGAGACATGATAAATTCCTTTATATCATGGTCTTTCATAACAGTGTTTTTCATCAGTTTTTTATCACATTCAAGTATTGTGTTGCCATAAATGCTGCCTGCAGCATTTGTACCAATATAAATGACAGGGATGTTTGGTGTAATTATTTCTCTCTTGTGCAGGCATGCAGTGTCTATGTTCATACCAAAGAGAATGGCAAAGAATCTCTCCACACTGGATCGGAGGATTTTAAGTTTCATCTTTGGTTCAGGTATAGAAAGGGCTGTTTGTATTGATGTCTGTGTCTTCTATTCCAATCTTGACGCAAGTTTTCAGATTTGGTTTCCCCCACAATCAGTTGCAATTGGAGATTATCAGATGCATTAAGGACTTAAGTGATGGACTGGGCCTTATAGTGAGAGTGCAGGTGAGGGACATACACCAGATTTTTACCAATGGGAGAGTAGGAAGTTAAGCTCTTTTGAAAATCAGGTCACACATTTAGATGCCGAAATGGGCTAACTTCTTTGTAAGCTGTGCAGCTATGTGGCCGCACAGCGATTTATTGCACTCCACTCAGAGGCGCAGAGCTCCCATGAAGGTGGGAACTTATCTGACTGACTAGGGACAGGGACAGCTGAGCAGCTTTCAACAGAGCTGCCTAATTCAGATGAAGGAGCTCAGAGAGCAGGTAGGGAGAGGAGATGGGAAGGAAGGAATAAGTGGCTAGGGCAAAAGTTGTAGACTAAGGGCATTTGGGGAGAGGAGAAAAAGGAGGGAGTGACTGGATGGGACGAGTCAGGGGAGGGGAGTTTGGAGAGTCCGGAATGTGCCAGGAGAGAAGGTAGAAGCAGAAAACCAGCATTCTCTTCTCCTGAGCTAGGAAGGGGAGGGGGAGAAGCTGACTGTATGGAATAGGTGGAAAAAAGTGGGGGATGCTGGAACTGGGGTGAGGTGGAAGTGGAGAGTTTGTGCCATGTCCTAGGGTGAAGTGGGGGAGGGCTGGAGAGTTTGTGCTGTGCATCTGGTCGCCAGGACATTTGTATGATTACATTTCAAACAATGTTTACATAGGTTTTAATGGCTTAAGGCAAGAAAGAAAACGATTCTTTTAAACAGAATTTTTTGGAGAGTTGCAAATATCTAAAACTCTGATATTAATGATTTTTTAAAATCCTGTGTTACAAATTAATACATGGCAAATTGTATTGAATTAAGGCCGGATCTTTGTGGTAAAGTTCTGACTTTTATGAATCAGAAGAAGCAAGTACCAGATGTGATGCTAGTTCTTTTATAGGATGAAACCTTATTTGCAAGCTCTTTGAAACATGCATCTGCATGGGTGGCTGGTATGCTATGTGGGAGAAGGCACAGTCCACAGATAAAAGTTCCCTGATCCTGCCCACACTCCATCCCTAGAATGCCTACTTGTCCCACCCAAGCATAGAAAATGTTAGAGGGAACACCATAAATGGGTCTCATCTTTTGAAACTGTAGCCCAATATTTCCCCTATTTTGACCCATCTATCTCCTGCCTCAGTTCATTATTGTATAGCCCTACCCATAGGCAGCACCAAAAAAGCAATTTTCAGTTGCCATTGCTGCTCAATTATAGTAACTCACCTATTGTCCTTTTGCACCGCAATTTTGTCTCCTTCGGGTATTAGCTTTTTCTGCTCTGTCACGCCATAACTTTCTCTGCATATCTATGTTATTAAAAAAAGGTTTTTTTTATACTCTGTGTGTCACCACACAAGCTTGAGGAATGGACGAAAGGTTCTTTCATTCATTCCAGATAAACTGTGCAGCTACTGACAAACAAAGGGTGAACAAAGGAGGCTAGAAAAACAGACAAGGTAAGTTAGAAAGAAAAAAAAAACAGATACCCTGCTGTTCGTAAATAATTTTTCATAGACAACACTTGCTCCTTAGACAACAATTTGCAATCAAGGCCAAATGCAAACCTGGAAGACAACCAAGCTATACTGTCACGCTGAAAAAGAAGAGACGGATACCCTCCAAAAACTACATTTAACCAATGCTTAACAAAATCTTCTTTCAATAATGATAACGCAGGATGCTCAATTAATCTACTCACACAGTAGATTAGCAGACAAAGTCAGAATGCCATACATAACTGCATTATTTTGAAGTCTTTCAATTAAAATGTCAAGGGCCACATTTTTAGCCAGCCAGCACAAATGAGCCCCAAAACAGATCTCCTTCAGACCTTTTGGGCAAAACTATGAATCCATTTCAAAGCATGAAAGAATTCCTTTTACCTGAAACCAAGCATAAGCGAGCTTGGGTAAAGTTATACAAGGTTATTTTAACTGTTCATTTTTAGGTGGATGTGATGATCAGTGCTATATGACCTCACCCTGAATTGTAGTACAAACCTGTGTTTAGACCCAGAACTGGTTAGCTCTAGAGATAAGATCTATAAGACAGCTTTTATTTTAAAGCTTAAAAAACAACAAATAGTCTAATAGCACTTTAAAGTCTTTAAGGTGTTGTTTTTTAAGCTTTTCTAGTTACAGACTAACTTGGCTACCCCTCTGAAGCTTTATTTTAAAAGTTCTCCTTTTATCAAACAACACAAAAGTCTAGCCTTCTCAGAGCACAGTAAGGTAGGTAAGGTTTCTTCACAATATCCATCCCAGAATCTAGCCATATCAACTCTAATTACTACCCTTTAAGAAACGAGCTTTCATGCCTTCTCTTTAACAACAGGCATGCTCAGATGTTGCACTAATGCATCCACCTCAACCTCTGACACACCTCCATATAAACAGGAAGTTGATAAGTGCCTACCTGTAAAGTTAGGGCCTACCCAGAATATCCTGATCCAACTCAGACCATCTCAGCCAGAGGCCTGCCAGTGAACCATAACCATTTCTATCCCACTGCAAAGGCTATCAATTGCATTTATAAACTGGGAAACAATCTTTTGGGGCCTCACTATTTCAGTCTGCCAAAACCAATGTTCTAGTCATGTACTTCAGTGTTCTGACTCAAAGAAGGTTTCACACAATCATAATAATAATATTGTTCACTGTAAATGTTTGAAGACACAAAAGGAATCTGCACTTTTTACTAAAAACAGAATGACAGAAATATTCAAGAGGACAGAAGGTATAATCACGATCCCTTCTGACCCTGGGAGTCTATGAGAAGGAAAAAAAAAAGATTGAGATGGGGTAACATTTTCAAAAGCAGTCAACTGACTTCATAGCCAAAACCCCATTTTCAAAAGGGATTTTGGCACTTACATCTCACTGACAGTCACTCCCAGAAACAGACTCCTGAGTGCCTAAGTCATTTCTGAAAATAGGAGTTGGATCTATATACACAGTAACAGCAGAATACCTGTGAGGATTTTTAATATTTCTACAATACGCAGCACACATTTTATGGGCTTGTTTGGGTCCACGCACCCACAGAACAAATCATATAAATGACAAACATTATTAATTCTCCTCACTGTAAAGTTCAGGCAGAATGTTTCTTCTACATCATCCCCAGGATAATCTAAAAGCTGCTGAAGACTCCTGCAAGAGAGGTAGGGGAGGGAGGAGAAAAAGACAAATCAGACATCCAAGAAGCAGTACTATCTGTGTTTCATGTTTAAAGGAAGAAACCCCAGCAGTGAAAATGCATAACATTAAGTCAGAGTAGCAGGCTAAGACAAAGATAAACTCTAGGCTGCCTATAGGAGGACGACTACTAAATGTCATACTACTAATACTCAGTCTAGTCCGTGGCTGACGAGAACAGGAATCCTGTTGAGTGGTCCAGTATTTGCAAAAGGCATTCCATTTTTAGCTCTGGAGGATGACAAGATAGGCATACGAGAACAGGAATCCTGTTGAGTGGTCCAGTGTTTGCAAAAAAGCATTCCATTTTTAGCTCTGGAAGATGACAAGATAGGCATGAGGGCTGCAGAAAAGGCAGAGGAAAGGGGGAAGACACACACTATACCCCTATTTTTTAGAGTCCTATTGATGTCTCCCAAAATGTGGCTGCAGGACTCCTGTATCTTTCCAGCCCCTCCCTGTACCCCATCAAATCTTTTTTAAAAACTCGGAGCTAAAAAAAAAAGATCACATAGTAACTGATAGCAGATGATAATCCATTCAAGAATCTCATGTAACATGAGACTCACAACCTGCTAGGAGCTAGGAAAAAAACAAGGCAGGAGAAGCAACTCTTCAGTGTCTACATCTCAAGAGATGCCTTTTCTTCTTAACATCTGAAAGCAACTCTTCAGTGTCTACATCTCAAGAGAAGCCTTTTCTTCTTAACATCTGTCTTTCTAGCCAGTTATCATCACGGTTGCTCACAGAGGCTTTGACAGAGATCAGAGCCCTATTGGGCCAGGCAATGGACAGATGGCAAAGCTTATATTATAGAGAATTTACAGACTAAACAGATGAGTCAGACCAAAAATGGGGTAACAGAGGCCAAGAGAGGCAATGTCACTTGTCCAAGGTCCCCAGGCAGGCCAGCAACTGAGTTGGAACGAGAACCCAGATCTTTCTAAACCCCCACATACATTCCACCACATCCCTATGTGGCCACTGGACAACAGTGAAGTGCAAAAAGACAAGCAGCCTCCTCCCCCCCATGATTCTACTCCACTCTGGTCCTGATTCAGCCAGCCTCTTATGCATGTGAGAGGGCATACTGATTTCAATGGGACTCCTCACGTGCTTAGAACTAAGCACTTTGGTGGAACAGGGCACCTAGAATCAACTACCTGATCAAGACAACAGGTCATTTATTTAACTAATATTAACCAGTTATTAACCTGTTTCATATATGTTGTCCTCTAACAAGCACTTTCTCCTCCCAGTTCCCGCAAGAAGTCGGAACAGAACAGTAGCCTAAATAGTTCTTCAGCGTTATACCTTCCTTCTGTAGGAGACAGCTCCTTTAAGTCTTCTAAGCAGGGCTTCACATTCAACAACTTTTTGTACAGGGCCAACGGGAAATGGAGGTCTACCACAGTGAAGTTATATATAGCAAGTCCACATACTATGCCAATCAAGTGAAACCAGTTGTGCTCTACAAAACACTTCAAACACAAAGAGAAGTCACAATTAGAACAAAATTAATTGTGCAGCTTAATGGACACAAATATATATTCCCCCTGCAAATATATATACATTGGAGCAACACAATTTGGACCCAGGTTTTCAGCCCCCAAGCAGCTCCCCTAGAGATATGGAGTATTTCTGAAAACACAGCCATTTCAGTTAATTGCCAAAATGGAAGCTAAGCTCCTATGAACATCTGGCCCTCAACTGTCAGCATCTTAGGGCCAAGACTGTCCTCTTTGATTGTTTGGATAACACCTCCTGCACAGTAAATGGTACTATAAATCATTATTTATAATGTTATTCTTAAAGAACTGGCCCTAGATACTGGAGAGGAACAGATGTAAAAATATCACTTGTAGGCTCCAATCCTGCCATGAGCTCCCTGTGAAAAGAATACCTAATCCACACAGACTGGAAGGGTTTGAAGCCTTAGCAGCAGAATCACCGCTTTACACTGTTACAGACAAATTTCAAATATCAAAGTTACTTTTAATCTATTATACCATTTGTACATCCCTCAAGTTGGACCCCCCTACCCCCCCAAAAAAAAGCCAGGTTCCCAAGGCCACAATGTTTCCATTCCTAATACTGTAAGACACTGTTTCAAGCCAAACAAACTAGCCTATTTTCATTTAAAAGTCATGCATAAGCAAACGGTTATTCAGGAGCTTACAGGCAACTAGTGAGGTGTTTCATGTCCTTCTTCATTGCTGTTTAGTTAAAGATGTGTGCATCAGTGACAATAGTGATGCACAAACCTCGCAACCATATGAACAAAATATTTTCACATTTAAACTACAATTATTCTTAGCCTTTCAGTACACTATCCACTAAAGTAATTTTCAATTTTGCTAGCTAAGAAGAGAGTGAAGCATCTCCTGAATAATACTGACATTCATTCCACACTACTCAAAATACCATCTGCAGAGGTAAGTAAGTCAGAATAACTTTGTTGTTATAATAATTATATCATGGCTTCCTGGCATTGCACATTAAACAGCATGAATGAGATACTGTAGTGTACTGATTGCAATTATACAAAGAGCAGAAATTTGAAGTCCTTATGGGCTAGAAGTCTCTGATTTTCTACATCAAGTTTATAGCTAAGATGTTAAAATATAAAATTAAGCAATTAATACACACCATTCAATTGTTCTACCCTTATCAATTACAACAGCCTAAATTCTCAGTGTTAACAGTAAAAAGAATCTATTTTCACTTTCATTATTAACCACCAACTAAGATTTTATACATTTTTGTCTAATGGATTAATACTAGACAAATAGGACTAACTGGCATAGGTCTACTGAAGTTAATGGTCCTAAATTAATTTTCACCAGAGGAGGAGAGATGACCTTTCTTGCATCATGGGGGAAAAAAAATGAGAAGCAGCTTATTTTTTCTCACTAACTTCATTGTAGCACGTGTGCTCTCACAAGACTCACCATATCTGAAAACCACAGCAGGTTTGATTCGGGATAGAAGGTGAACATTCCATAAATGGGATTCAAGAGTTCTTTTAGCAACAAGAGAAAGAATTCTTTTGTGACTCCTCCAGCGTCAACAGCCTCCTCCCCATCAAAGATCACCTGCCATGAAAACAAAGAACTGATCAGGATGCCAAATGTAACTGTAGATTAGAAGCATCAGCTTTAACCATAGGTCATGCAAATTAATAACTGAGACATACAAAAACAACTTCAACAACAGGTCTGTTTCAGTGCTTTGTGTGTGTAAGGAAGCGAAGTACTAAGACAACTTTTATTTTTAATTGGATAATTCAATAAATAATCAGCTTCCCTGTGGGCAACAGCACAGGCCCTCCCCACAAGTAGAAGAACAGTTCTCTATTCAGAGGTGTTAGGGGGACTGATACTAGCAGCTGTTGAATTGTGGGGCTTCTCAGACATAGAACCCACTCATTATTTAGTTCTTTCTTCAAAATGGCAAAAAGACACTGAACAATCTGTGTAAAAACAAGATACTTGTTCTGGAGTTTGTTTTTGCTTTGGTCTCACACCCTACTCCCAACTCACCATCCACACCCAGATAATAGCCACAAAATGGAGTCCTCCACAGTAGATGCCAAACCCCTTCCTGTGGCTTCCTTTATTTGGTTTTTTTACAATGAAGAAGGAGAGCACACAGAGTCAACCAGTCCCAATAAAGCCTGCTGATGAGGAAGCATGCTGACTCATCCCCTCCTTGGCTGGATAATACCTTGCTACTCGTTATAGCCAAGGAGGAGTCAGCATACCTTATTTTGAGTTCAGTGTGTGTGTAGCAGGGATTGAAGAGGCATTTTTTTTGCAAGACAACGAGGAGTCAGCATACCTTATTTTGAGTTCACTGTGTGTGTAGCAGGGATTGAGGGGGCATTTTTTTGCAAGACAAAGGAAAAGGAAACAAGGAAAATAAGGAAGATTAGGGGAAAAACTACTGAAGGGATCATACCTTCAGAGGCTTCTTCAAATCAATATCTGAATGAATGCTCAGCTCCCTCAAAGCATCGCCAACCAGGTTGCTCCTGCGGACGTGAAGAACTAGGAAAGGGCTTTTGGCCAGCAGAGGCTCCAGAGTGAGAAGCATGAAAACATTTTGCAAATTTGCTCCATTGATTGCCACCTATAAAACAACACAAAAAAGAGAAAGACTAAAAAAAACAGGCTATTGTGGCACTGGTGAGTGGAGACAGCCATACCTCCACCACCACCTACCAGTTTGTAACCAGTCCTTGGTATTCTTTCCTTCCCTCTTGTTACAACAGCAACAACCCTCTCTCTTCACAACAGTATGTATTCATAAATAAACTGCCTCTTAGGAGGCTGAAGTCTTCAATATACAGAACAGATGCAACATAGGAAACTGCAATTCAAGCTGCTCCTATGCTAACCAAACAACGTGTCTCAATCATGACTTAGAAGGACTTCCTCAAGGAGTGAGGTGGTAGTTTAGTCTCTGTGGAGCATTCAACTTTTAGTCCCTCCACAAGTTGAGTAACTACCTGACTGGTATTTGAACCAGCCTGGCTGATTTTCAATAGCTTTCCCAGTTCACAGAAAAATAATGTAATATGCTAAGGTTTTTTTAATGTGGGTCTAAAGATTTGCATTATCATCATAATACACTGCTAATACACATGTAATGCTAAAAGTTTTTGGTCAAAGATGTTGCAGTGTTCCCCTGTCATAGTCAATCAATGACAGATCAAAACTGTTGAAAATACAGCAGTTGTCTGTACACCAACATGCAAGTGCATTGTGTGAGTGAGAGAGAGGATCTGAGTTATTGTTAGTGGCTGTCAAAGGAGGGGGTCGTGGACTTGCCTTGTGATTGGGTGCTGAGGTTGCAAAGGGCTTATCTTGTGTGGGGTGAGAGTGGGTGACTGGTGCCAGGTTTCTTTGTATTTCAATGATCCACCAGTTGTCACTAGAGCCACCACTAGTGACAACTGTGGTGGCAGTTTTTAACTGTGTAGGAACCTGTCACTTACAAAATTAGGCACTCTCTTTGTACACAGTCCGCATAACAGCCATCAGATGGTAACAACTTGTATAGCTCGAGAATGCAGGGGAATTATCAGGAAGGCAAAAGCACAAATAGGAATTGCGACTAGTAAGGGATGTGAAGGGTAACAAGAAAGGTTTCTACAGGCATGTTAGCAAGAAGAGGGTGATCAGAGAGGGTGTGGGGCCCTTATTGGATGAGGGAGGTAACCTAGTGACAGATGATGTGGAGAAAGCTGAAGTACTCAATGCTTTCTTTGCCTCTGTCTTCACGGACAAGGTCAGCTCCCAGACAAATGCACTAGGTGACGCAATATGGGAAGAGGGTGGACAGCCCTTGGTGGGGAAAGAACAGGTTAGGAACTATTTAGAAAAACTAAACATACACAAATCCACGGGTCTAGATTTAATGCATCCAAGGGTACTCAGGCAAATGTCATTGAGGAGCCTTTGGCCATTTTCTTTGAAAAGTCGTGGCGATGGGGAGAGATCCCAGATGATTGGAAAAAGGCAAATGTAGTGCCCAACTTTAAAAAAGAGAAGAAGGACAATCCAGGGAACTATAGTCTGGTCTTACCTCAGTAACCAGAAAAATCATGGAGGGGATCCTCAAGGAATCAATGTTGAGGCACTTGGAAGAGGGAAAAATGATCAGGAATAGTCAGCATGGGTTCACGAAGAGCAAGTCATGCCTGACCAATCTGATTAGCTTCTATGATGAGGTAACTGGCTCTGTGGATATGGGAAAGTCAGTGGATGTGATATACCTTGACTTTAGCAAAGCTTTTGATATGGTCTCCCACAATATTCTTGCAAGTTAAGGGAATATGGATTGGATAAATGGACTGTACGATGGATAGAAAGCTGGCTAGACTGTCAGGCCCAACTGGTAGTGATCAACAGCTCGATGCCAGGTTGGCAGTTGGTTTCTAGCTTAGTGCCCCAAGGATCTGTTCTTGGACCAATTTTGTTCAACGTTTTTATTAATGACCTGGATGAGGGGATGGCTAAGTAGCAGTTCTGCAGAAAAGGACCTGCGGATTACAGTGGATGAGAAACTGGATATGAGTCAACAGTGTGCCCTTGTAGCCAAGAAGGCCAATGGCATATTAGGGTGCATTAAGAGGAGCATTGCCAACAGATCCAGACAAGTGATTATCCCTCTTTATTCGACTCTGGTGAGGCCACATCTGGAGTACTGTGTCCAGTTCTGGGCCCCCAACTACAGGAAGGATGTGGACGCATTGGAGAAGGTCCAGCGGAGGGTGACCAAAATGATTAGGGGGCTGGAGTATATGACCTATGAGGAGAGGCTGAGGGATTTGCATTTGTTTAGTCTGCAGAAGAGACGAGTGAGGGGGGATTTGATAGCAGCCTTTAACTTTCAGAAGGGAGGTTCCAAAGAGGCTGGAGAAAGGCTGTTCACAGTAATGACAGATGGCAGAACAAGGAGCAGTGGTCTAGGTTGGATATTAGGAAAAAGTATTTTACTAGGAGGGTGGTGAAGCACTGCAAGGGGTTACCTAGGGAAATGGTAGAATCTCCATCCCTAGAGGTTTTTACGTCTTGGCTTGACAAAGCTCTGGCTGGGTTGATTTAGTTGGGATTAGTCCTGCCTTGGGCAGGGGGCTGGACTTGATGACCTTCTGAAGTCTCTTCGAGCTCTATGATTCTATGACTTTTGGACATTGGCAACCTGTGCTACATTTTAACTGGTGACTAATTACTAATTAGTTCCACCTGCCATGGTGAATGTTGAAGGAAATGACCCCATTGTTGTTGACATCCACCATTTTTACATTCACAAACAACAAAAGAAAGTACTCTAATTAATGTGCTAACTAAAATGTGGCATCGCTTACATCTACTGGAGAGATGTATTATATCTGACCAACTATTAGCCACCATCCTCCACTAGAGATCTGGATTCCATTCTCTATAGCACATAAGTGTGTTTATGTTGAAGGCCATCAGATGTTAACACTGGCTACAAATTCAGTGCAGATTCACTGTAGTCAAGGGTATAGGGGACAGAACATCACTAAGATTTTTGAGAATCAGTCAATCGATACCAGGATTTCCAGAAAGAAGCCATATTTGATGTCATTTAGTGGAACATAATGAAAATCCCACATTGCTCAATGTATTGCAAGGTGCAAAACACAATTCTGATCACAGTGAACCTCTCCTAATGGAATATCTTTATTCACATAAAGAATTATTGTGCTGTAAGGGTTCTAGCAGTGCCTCAGTGAAATCCATCAGTAAGACAGACTTCAGAAACTTAATAGTTGCCAGACGGCACACAACTACACAAATAATGAAATCCTGCCCAAGTATAAACTATTAGCAAATGTCACCTAAATATGTGGAAGAAGGCAGGAAAGACGACTAGGGATAGGCACAATGAAAGAGAGGAGAGCTGGCTACCTGCATCTGCAATTCAGCATCCGTCTGTAACATTTTGGTCTTGGCTTGAGCATCGAAGATAAAAGGATAAGAACAGAGGGTTACTGCATCCTACAAGGGAGAAAAGAAATTTGTAGTTCTTATCTGAGACTTGGACAAGCACTTGCAAACTGAAGAGTCAATTTTTTTTAACCTACCTGCATAATAGATGGTCTCACTTTCTGTGGAAAGAGATAAAGACAAAAATTAATTCTTCTGGTTTCATATTCCATGACGTGCTTTTTCAAATGGACTAGGTCAGAGGAGATCCAGTTCCTTTAAACCTGTATCTTCTCAGATGAAAACTCCAGTTTCTTCCTCTTGTAGGAAAAGACTCACAATCATTTTCACTTCTGAGCAGAGGGCCACGTCAAAGCTTTTATGTCAGGTAGGTCTCAATTAATGGGTGAATTTCACTCCAAGAAATCAACAAAATATACCTTATTAACTTAATAGTCCCACTAGTAAAGCTAGAGATGAAGCATTTCACACAAATAAATACTAAGCCCACAACTTTTAAGTTCAGTCAACTACCAAATGCTACAATTTTCATTTAACATATATATTCCTTTTATCCACTTTTCAATAAATGTATTAGGTTTTACTATTAAGGCTACGTTCTTAGGGTATGTCTACACTGGCAGCTTCTTGTGCAAGAACAGCTATTCTTGCACAAAAACGTGCCTGCTGCCTACACTAAGAACAGCTATTCTTGCACAAAAACTTGCCTGCTGCCTACACTAAGTTATTCCTCTCCCCACAAGGAATAAGCCCTTTTGCGCAACAGCTCTTCCACGAGAGGGAAGTGTAGTCAGGCAACATGAATTTCTTGCGCAAGAAGCCCTTACGGTTAAAATGGCCATCAAAGCTTTCTTGAGCAAGAGAGCATCCACACTGCCATGTTTGGGCTGGCATTCTTCCCTCTTTCTCAGGGGTGGGACTTGCAGCTGGTTTCTGGGGTACAGAGCTCAGCCACTCCTTCTGGAACTCCTTCCCTGCTATGTCTAGCTCTATAACTTCTAGTATTTTGTCTCAAACCCTTGTTCTCCTTCTCTCTTCTACCTCTCCTTCCGTTCTCTCACTCTCACCCCCACCTTCTAACTGGGAGAATTTAAAGGCCTCCAGCAGGCCTGAAGTGCAGTCAGCTGGCCCCAATCTACCTATCTACCTATGGCCTCCAGCAGGCCTGAAGTGCAGTCAGTTGGCCCCAATCTACCTATCAGCTGCTTCTAATTTCTTGCAGCCCTCCACCTCTAATAAGCAGGCCGTTTACCCTTGATTCCATAGAGCTCTCATACTAATTGGGTAAGGTCCAGCATTCCCTCTAACTCTTCATTTGCAGAATTTATATGTGCACCAGTATGGAGGTGATGTTTGACACGAAGTGTGTGGGAGTGCAGTGGAGGGGTTTTGGTGTTTGGAGTGTGGGAGGGGGCTCAGAGCGAGGGCAGAGGGTTGGGATGTGCGGGGTGAGGGCTCCAGCTGGGGACTCAGGCCATGAGGGGTTCAGTATGCAAGCTGCCCCAGGGAGAGAAGACAACCCCAGCTGTCTCTCACTGCAGCAGCTTGAAGCCAAGTAAGAAGTGCCTTTATGTAGCAATGGCAACTGTAGCAGGGCCAGGCCAGGGGAGGGAAACCTTTGATCCATTTTGTGAAAATAGCCACTATTACCAAGAGGTATTTATTTCATCTGTGTGGTATAATTGACTTGAACCATCCATCATATATCCTTTGGGATTTTAAGGGAGTCTTGCTTCTCTCCTAATCTGCGTTGCCAGCAGTGCATGAAATTTCTGGCATATTGGTCAATATCAGATTTTACACAAGGCCATCAGTCCATTTCCAACAGACTTTCAACTGATTGAGCCTTGATGGCTCCCCTTGATCATGTGTAAGATATATAATTTCATGTCTCCTCCATCACTAGCCCTTTTAAAGAGAGATTTCAGAGACAGATTTTTGTTTTACAAT